GGATCACGGGACGTGATATTTTGCGGGGTTCAGGGACGATGGTTTGGATCGGAGGATCACGGGACCGTGATATTTTGCGGGGCTCAGGGACGATGGTTTCGGTTGGAGGATCACGGGCCGTGATATTTTGCGGGGCTCAGGGACGATGGTTTGGGTCGGAGGATCACGGGCCGTGATATTTTGCGGGGCTCAGGGACGATGGTTTGGGTCGGAGGATCACGAGCCGTGATATTTTGCGGGGCTCAGGGACGATGGTTTCGGTCGGGGGATCATGGGCCGTGATATTTTGCGGAAGTCAGGGAATGGTTTGGGCCACGGTCTAGTGATTGTTCTGCGGGACACATGGCAGGTGATATTCTGGGGGATATCAAACTCACGGATGGACAATGAAATCATCACCTGACCCAGGGACGACCGTCCCCCTGGAACCATCACCCCTGACCATCCTGAAACCAAACCCCCGGGAGTAGTGGTCAATAGATTTGATATGATTCGATATTTTGGCAAAGTATCAAATCACAGGACTGCAGGATAATGTGATGAAATTTAAATCGCCTATTACTTGATGGTGGCATGTGGCTTGCCCAGGGGACGATGGTTCCACCGCCACCATCACCCCCAGCGCTTTCTTGTTTTGATTCCCGTAGGGACGACCCAGACAGCCAGATAGCACCAAAACCCTGATCCTGGACCAGCCTCGAAAAGTCGTCCTTCTCGAGATCGGTCATCGTTTTAGAGAGCTCCAAATATGTCCAAACCAATCCGAACAGTATGATTGCGGTGCGGCCAGTGCCCTTCATGGTCACCAACTGTCCATCATCCTGCGGTTTGACTTCAAATGGCTCCCGCATACTTTCGAAGCCGCCCAGATAGATCTCAGCAGCAGTGTTCATCCATTGCTGCATGTTGGGCAAGCCATCGGATGGCAACTGATAGCGAAGCACCAACGGTGAGATTTTCAGACCAGTGGCATCGGATACCTCAGTATTGAGTAGATTGGTTTGATCAGGGGGCAGTGTTTTAATCATGGGGCGGTGTGACAAATATGAACTTCAATGATACGTGGGCAAATGTCACAAGACCAGTGATAGGAAGCCAAGCTTCAGAATCACCATCTTCAAGTCGAGTTTTGAAGGAGACCCCCATGTCACGCTCTAACCAATCTTGAAGCGCAGTGTACATGCTGTCGGTCATCCTGGACACCACATACTTCACGGGATGCTCGTCTTTGTCCAGGTCAAATGACCTGAGGTAAACATGATTCATGTACCGATTTAGTTTCTGCACCGGACCAATTAGTAGATTGATTCAGATCCAAGTAGCTTCAACCCTTCCAAAACCTTTTGGGCCCATGGCGAGTTCCTAGCGAGCTTTGTTGCTCGATCCGTCTCGGACCCCGGCCCCCCCGCCCGCTTTCCCATTGCCAAGGCCGCTGACAGCCCAAGATCTCTTGAGATTCGAAGTGAAGGCCAGTGGATGGAAGGAAGTGACGGGCAGTTGGAAAGGGGATTTAATAAGGAACCACTACACAGTGCATTGCATGAAATTCAATTCATTGCTGCAACTGACGACAATTGGGATGCCTTTTTGCTCCGTGCGCCGTCTATCATGTGTGGTGAACAAGGTGCAGCTAAGAACCAATCAATTCAGCGCAATGCAGTGATTACGTAGTCTCGCCTTGGCACGAGGTAGGGGCAGGGCAGGACACGCAAACTCCTTGTTTGTAGGGCCTCTCAATGCTGATCAAGTTTTACACTCTACAAGGACCCAGTGTGGATTTAGATCATGATGGTTGCCAGCAAGTGACATGCCACAGAGTCTGAAACGTCTTGAAGTTGGTGTCCAGCCAATAGTCAACGTAAGCCTTAGCAACAAGTTGAGGTTTGCTTGCAAGAGCTGGGAATAACCCACATGTACCTGCACGACATGTTGTTTGAAAGAATGAGCGAACATGTTGTTTGGAACAGGTCCAAGAAACCTTCCTGTCAGTGTTCCAAGGCCACCGTCGAACAAGCCAGCCGAAAGGCACGTTGCGAAACTGGGTGTCACAGTGGGAGGCGGCGTCAATTGGTCAATAAGGTTTGTCTTTGGTGGGCTGGGTCTAAAAATTGAGTCATCCATCCATCAAATCTCAGAACTTTACTGTGGACTCAGCTTGCCCCCTTGTGTGACACCCAGAATACCAAACAATCAACTTGCAGTTTATGGTTTGCATGGGCCCGCCCAAAAATAGTTTTCCAGGTACAAGTGCTGCAATCTTCTGGCGTTGGATTGTCAGACCCCTCATTGCAAACCCGAATTTTGCTCCACTAATTATGGATGGGCAGCGTCAATTAAAGACGTTCAAGGCCGCACAAGGCAGCCAACAAAACACACCCTACACACGGAGTAGACATGCTGTTGCCAGCAAACTTGGGAATCAAGTTTTGATTGACTCCCTTAATCTCCAATTTTGGAGCAAGACAAGCCCTTTCCTGCAGCCTAGTCGTAGGAAGAGTCTGGGCACTCAAGAGCTCGGTGGGTTCCATGAACCTGTGGTGCTCCTCCCAACCAGTTTCTTGTGATGCAGGATCGACATCCTTTCCACGAGTTCTTCATTGGACCTACTGACAAAAAACACATGCCGCCCAGTCCTCAGAGAAGAACTTGCTGCAATTTGTCGTCAGGGCCATGAGGGAACCATCCCTCAACCCGCCCCGCGGCCGGCCGTTCTTGGGATATTGCGTAAGGTCCGGATAGGCCATGTTTGCCATGGCGCGGTAGTCCATGAGATTTCTCTCCTGGTGACAGGTCTGAATGTTAAATGGGCACCTAGTTGGGAGCTTGAGAAACAAGCACTAACAAATCATTGGGCTGAAGCTCCTCAGCAGCCGTGAGAGTTGTCTCGGGAATCTTCTGCCAGAAATAGTTTCCGGCAGTCAGCACTGGTTTGGCTGCAAGAGCCCGGACAAACTCCTCAAGGCGGAAGTCAGCAGTCCATTTCAAAACATTCTTCCTCCAACAAATGATATAGACCCTTGGCCTGGAAACCCCCATGCCAAAGATTCTCGGGTCGAGCCTCGTTGAGTCCATGGCCCATGAGGGACCTAAGTGGGACGCGACCAGTTTCTCCTTGTACTCCGGTACGTTTTCCAGGATAAGGAGATCATTGCACTTAGTGTACTCCTTGTAGTATTGCTCATGTGTGGCAAATGCGATGTCCTGTTCTTGAAGGCGCTTTCCCATAGCGCTGAAGGAAACGCACACCGGTCCTAGGTTTTCATACGTTTCAAGCATGACTCCAACAAAAACTCTGTTTTTATTTCCCATTCACTGCAATATCGGATCCCAACTCCAAGGCATGGGCCGGCACAGTTCACGCGGATACCTCATGAGGCCGGGTGGTCAAGAAGAAGCGGCAAACTCAATCCTTGTGTGGGTGTGGGTTCAACTGTTTGCTAAACATGGCTGAGTTGCGTCCCTTGCATTCGACGTTCTTGCAGAGCTTTTGATGGGTGCTGCAAAAGTTCCGATTTCCATGATCTAAGCACACCCCCATGATGTCAGGGTAGTTGCAATGACCGTATGTGTCCCTCAAGATCTGCTGGCATGGCTTCATGATCTCGCAGCTGGAGGTAAGGGTGACGTGGTTCGTTTTCAACCCCTTCCGGTCCCGACTCCTGTCGAAAAGAAACTTGCGGGCAGCATTCTGTAAAGACAGAATAGCCTCAGTTTCGGCGCGGCTATTAAATCCTAGACCCAATACGCCTACTCAGTGATGAACACAATAGAACACAATGTTGCACTCAGTCTGAAGTAAACAAGTAACATTCTCAGCGGCCCCTACTCCACTGAAGGCCGTGCTCATGCTCCACTTCCAAGTCTTGAGACGGTTGATGAGCCACTGCTCTCCATACTCATGAGCAATCACACTCAAGAACTGCTTTGGCCAGGTGTACGTGGAAAGAATGCTCCGGAAGCGGATCGGCAGGCCTTCTGCTGGGAGATGCACAGATGTTTTTGGATATCGAAACCTGAACACGGGATGGGATTGGGTCAGCTAGGGCGACATTTGGGTCTGAGTCGGAAGTTATTGGATTGATTTTGAATCGGAATCCGGGTGAGACTAACTAATGATCATTGGCATGACAGACCAACCACTGCTGACTGACTGTGTTTGAGAGTATCTGAGAGTAGAACAGCTTAGGCTTCTGCGGCTTCGGGGGCTTCAGGGCACTCTTCCTGACATGCCTGGCATCGGTCATAAACAGGTCCATAGGGAATCAAAACGTCGAAAAGCAAATCAGCAAATGGGTGCACTTGAAGCTTCAACAGCTCATTACCGTCCCTTGGAGATGTGTTCAACTCGACCAACTCGAGCGGCAGGATTCCTTCATGGCAACATGGACATGGGTCACCTACTAACACTTTATTCGCTTTATTGTGACTGGACTGGACTACCATCATCATCGACCATCATGTCCTGGGGGTCCCATTGCTAATCAGTCGAACAGCTTCCCGCAGACTGCATTGTCTCGGCTTGGCCATTGCAATGCCAGGCGAGTGCAAACGGGTCCCAGGCAACTCAAGGCCGAGAAAAGGGTTCGACAGAGAATCTCATTAGGATCAGTCATTCATTCTGCAACATGCGTAGATCTTTAGAGTTTGAAGCATGGTCGGACTCCGGACATAGTTTTTTCGCGCCGGTCGCCAAAAGCCTTTCGCCGTGGTTCCGGAGCACGCGCTATGCACCTCATCTTTTCTTTGGATCAGGAGCCTCAAAGCGAAATTGAATGGGGGAAGTTCAATCAGAATCAGAAGGGCATGTTCTGTGAAAGAATTCTGACAGGTCTTCGGCCTCGGTGTCCTTGAACTTTGCATCTTCCTTTTTGAGCTGAGCCTCAGCAACGCGGATGGAAATGGGGTGTATAGTCACTGCATGGTGCAAGGGCATGCATCGACATTTTGAGAATTGAAACCCCGAGACCCAGACTAAATACTTGTGCCATTGATCAATGAGATGACCCTGCCAAGCGTTCAAACAAACAGGGTGCTAATGCGATATGTTTGTGGGCCTCCCCCGTGACTGATAAGACATGTAGACTTACCTGCCAGATATTGACTCAATGTCAAGCCTGACGTGCTCAGGAATCAACAAGCCTGCGAGTCTTCATTGAACGACCAATGGTGTGGATCGTCTTGCGGCCAGTAGACCTTCGAACTCCAAATTGATGGTTTAGTGACTAGAACCGCACGGCGGTTTAAAGTGCCTTTGTGTCTTGAAGCTTCAACAGGGTTTTGGTCTGACATCACTCAGGCATGGGATGCATTCCAAGCCTTCTCTAGGACGGCTGGCGATACATGGGCAGCATTTGCGACCGGCGTTGAGGACATGCCTCCCAAAAGGATTGTTTGGCACACCAGGGCAATCAACCGGCCTTCAAAAACCTGACCTCAGAAGTTTCTACGACGACAAGCTTCGCCTAGTCGACGGACCAATTTCCCTGGGATCCTACTAGGTATTATGTCATGTCCAAAAATGCTTGCGGCATAAACATGGACCACGGCTTTGCAAAGTGAAGCAAACTGGAGAAACTGGAGTGAGACACATGCAATTAGACTACCACCGTTCTTTTTCATGAGGCAAAAGCACGACGTGCAGTCAGATCTAGCCAAAGGGAAAGTGTTCATAGTCACAGAAAACATCGTCAGAGTGGTGACATGTTTACATAATAATTGAAAGGAATTATTTCCCCGCAGCTATTACCTGATAGTTGCACGCAAACGCATCACTGGGGCAACCCTGCTAAATGCAGATGGGGCCCCCAATTGAATACCAAGCACTGCAGGTTCCTCTTCCAGCCATTTAATGGGCGGAACCGCATCCGGCTCCAAGCCATTGCAAATCCCAATTAGAAACTCAACGGATCTTCGAGTACATTCTGTTGGGTCATTTTGAAGCAGCAACTTTGCCAAAAGAACGTAGTCCTTTTTTTTGGCAGGCTTTATGTCTTTCAGTGCTCGGGGAACTCCAGGCAGTGGTCCCAGTAGGCTCAGGAAGCGGTGTGGAAATGCAAGCATTGGTTCCTGCAATTATTATTGGTCCAAGATGATTGAACTTTCCACCAGTCAATTGGATTTCAATGAACCAGTGGTCCGGTTTAGAATGACTGACATCTGCACAGCAAATGACTCCTGGCATAAATTATCGTCCGCTGCATTTCTCTTCACCATCAGGATGCAATCATTGTCGTGCATCTCAAGGCCCGCACCCCGACCAGTCGCCACGATTCTCAGGTTGGTTGGAATGTCTCAGTGTCAGAAAATGTCAAGTTTACTTCAAACCAAAGTCAAGACTTACCAGATTTCATGTTTAAGGTGTATGGGCCACTGAGTTGCTGACCAGACCGCCTCATAAAGATGAAGGCATGGATTCCAGTCTCATCAGTCTTGAGACCTCCGCTGAAGGTCACTGGTACAGAAGAAAGCCTCAGGACGGCGTGTTGATCTGAAGGGGCGACATGGAGAGGGTGACAGAGTCATATTATGTAACTGACGAACCATTTGATGACCAAATTTAAACAAAGCGCCACTGCTTGTAGTTGCGAATCCCGGATATATAGTTCACTCGGATCGAAGCATCCTTTCCAATCCACTTGCGGACCCCGATTCGGTTCAAAATGGTGCGCACTTTCCTCGGGTGATGAAGGCTACTAAATACTAAGGACCGAGTCAATTCAATTTCCTCTGGGTTTGGGACTGGGCAACATCGTGGCCATCGGCCAATACATCGATGTGCTTCATGGCCGTGCTGATCAATCCATAGATTTGGTCTGAGCGCAAGAACCACAGTCTGTAATAATCATGTAACAAAGATTCAGTCATGCTGGCATATAGTGACTCTTGCTGACTAGGTGCCACAAGCCGAATGGGTATGTCCCACCCGGCTGAAAAAATACCCGCACATGCGCATTCTTTGGCTTGTTGTCAGATATCCCAAGAATCGTAGCAGTTGCCCGTTTTTGTTCTCACGAACGCAGTTATCTGCCTAGGCTTTTTGGACTCTTACAGGACTCTAGGTATCACTGAACAACACCAAACTCAACACATCTCAACACGACAAGCATACCCAATAGCCACTTAGTAGTAGGCATAACTAGGGGTTTAAGTAGGAATTACATTCAACCCACCGAGCAGTCCAAGGCTCCCAAACCAATAGTTGGTCCGGGCTTCCTGCTCCGGCGTCCTTGCATCGCTGCAATGCGAAATCGATGGAACGTGCTGCGCATTCCAGGACCATGGTTGAGTCAGCGGCGACACGTGGGTCTAGGACCTTAGAACCACTCTTTTAGCAACGTTCAGACTTTGATCGTCTAGTAGATGTTAGTCAATGAACCAAAACTGTGATCGTCTCTTAGATGGTAGCCAGGGAACCCAAAGGTCTAGGGTCACATTGAAAATCCAGATCCCCTGAATCTTCAACTGGGGTCGCTGAAGATTCATGGTGCTCTTGAGCGGCCGCTGGCCATGATATCTTGGTATTCGCCACTTGGATTGATCCATACCGTCCTGGGCTAGGCCCAATCCAAGCAAGTGCACGCATATAAACTATCGCGCGCAGCAACTGATGACAAACCCTTGCAGTGACTTCATGCATGGCATGCTGTGACAAGAACATGTCAAGCAGGAAACTCAAAACTTAATTCAACTCATCCCATCGACCCAGTGCATGCACAATGGGGATCCTGGAGTTGTAAGCGGCGTGGCAGTTTGCAAGAACTCTTCAAGATCCCTGTCTCTGGCAACTTCGTCTAGATGAGCCCTGTAAGCCGTTGCGTTTTGAAATTTGTCTGCTGGAGTGATTGCTTTCTGGAACCGGGACTTGAACGCAGCGCACGAATCGCACGTGCCGTGCGTCGAGGGTGGAAGGAATCGCAGAAGGTTATGCCAATGGGAACGGAACGTGTTCCAAAAATACCCGTAGCTGCAGCTGGCTTCTTTGACTTGACACTCCAATTGAAATTTGTGGTACAACATTCGGATTGTGCCGGGTGGCAACCAGTGCGTTGGTAGCTCGGAGAGCTTCGATGCGAAATTCGTCTCGATAGAACTGGTCCAAAATCCAGTCATCCCCAGGATGTGTAGCCGAAGCTCCTGATCTTCCTCTAGGGGCTCCCGTGGAATGACAATGTCTTCCTCCTCTGGCCCCTCCACTGAAGACTCTGAGGACTCAGATTGCTGATCATCGGCCTCGAAGACGACGGTCATCGTCTCCTTCTGAGCATTCCTCTTGCGGCTTCCCCTTTGAAACCTCACTCAACTGTGATGCTCGAACGAGGAAAAGTCGCAACTGTTCACGACTATTTGCCACCAAATGGCTTGTTTGGCAACATACCTGCTGCCTTCATATAAACATCAAGGAGGAAAAAATTGACCCTCCTTCTCTTGCGCGCTGTCCGAGTTCGTGCCTAAGATTGAATGACTTGAATTGGAAGCTGCATGGACCAGCCGATAACAAGGAAATAGCAGGGTTCAATATGGGTGGGAATGCAAAAACGTCCTGGGAGACAACGTGATTAATTTGACTTGAATGCCGGACTAATGAATGCCAAATGTCCGTTCCATCTGATTTCCGCATATCCCGACGGTGCTGCATGATCCGGTTGTAGCGATCGAGGCCCATGCCCAACAACGCAAGCGCACATGTCGGGGAGACAAGCTTTCCAAGAACATACCATGGCCGTCGCTGGCCAACTTTGTTCCCAGCCACGAAGAGAACCTCCACCCGACCAACCATTGAACTCAAGACCCCACAAAAAACATGCAGTTCAACGATCACCATCAAATTTGATGAAGATTCAAGTCGAGCAACAAATGCATCCTGTGCGCCCTTTGCAAACGACCAAAATACTTTGAGGAACTGCAGAAGCCTTTCTAGCATCCGGCTTTGTTTGAACTTGACGAAACATATCCTCCGGTGACATCGGCATTGGTCCTGGCCAAGCAATCGTTGTACTCGAGCTGGGCTAGGGCCATTCTCAGCATGCCTTGGATTGTTTTCTGTTCCGGAGACCCGCGAAGCCTGATTCCCATGTCATGGTTGAAATTCACATCATTTAGCAAACTGGCAAGGTGCGACACTCGAGTCTGCTGGATTTTAAAGAACCTCCTTCTGGACCCATCATAGTTCGGCCGTTTTCGGAAATTCTCTGATCCTACAGGTTTGGGATGCTCTTCTGACATACCTCGGATTCCTTCGAAGCGTTTTAAGGCTTCTGTATCAAATTGCACGCAACTCTTGCCCTTTGGATCAACATCAAATGCATCTGGCAATGGTTCCTCAACCAGTGGCAATGGTTCCTCAACCGGCGTCGCCACCTCTTGGCTTGGTTCTGGGCATGAGGTCGGGACAACCTGTGTTGGCTGTGATGATGAAGCCAATGATCTCAAGAACCTCGCCGTGTGCAAGCCAATTTGTGAACTTTAAATTGACTTGTAGGTGATTTGGGTGTGGTGACTTGCAAGAGATTCAAAGCTTTCTTGCCTACTGAAAAGTGTGTTGTATGTTAACGATGATGGTCACACTGGAGTGGAACACGTGACATCAAACTGTCAATTTGTGAGGCCTCTTCCTCTCAGCAGACATGCAATGGTCCTGAGCGGGCCGTTGGCTTGCAAACGCTCAATGAACAAGATCTCAAACACCTCAACATCAAACAGCCACCATAAAGCACCTGGACCCGTGGTGAAAAGGACAATCGACACCCTGCCCATCTTGCCCTGCCTCAGGATGAAGTGGAGTGGCTTCCCTGAACCTCCTGGAAGGACAGCGCGGAATGGGGCGGGAAGGAGGTTGATGGTGGGGAGGATTGGATAGAATATGATAGAATCATCACTGAGTTACTTTTAGTCAGTCAGACTGATTTAATGTTAGTTCCCTTGGCGTAGCCATGTCATGATAGTCCTCCAATCGGTCTTCAACTGGCAGCCGCCGCTCGTGCAGGACGATGCCAAGATCCTGAATGGCATGAGAGGCCAAGGTGGTCGGAGGACGCGGTGAATTTGTTAGAAGACTTTCGCAAAGCTAGGATTTCGCAGAGCTAGGAGGTCCATGTTCCTTTGACCACCGATCCGGGATTAGTGCATGTCTCAGGGCAGGACTGATCTTGGCTGCACAGTCAGCTCACCAAGGCATGTACGTTTGGCAAATGGATGTTGACATGATTTTGTACTTAGACACACTCAGTGGATTTCGTGGCATAGTCTCAAAGTGTTCATTGTCAAATAGATGATGCACAGAATATCTAATGCCGGTTCGGTTGCGTTTGAGAAATGCTGCATTCAAAAACATGCAATCAAGGAATTGAATCAAGAACTGCCCTGAAGCGATTCGGCGGATGAAAGAAAGCCGCTCAGGCTTCGGACAGCATCGAATGAACTCGTCATTGGAAAGACCTGGCGGCGGGCAGTGGAAAAGTCAATCGGAGTCGACTGAACGTACGACCTCATCACCCGAAACTCCCAACAAAACATCCAAACCCATCCCATCCCTAATGCACTCGTCATTTAATGAATCATGATTCATTCTCTCATGCGATTCCGCGATGGACATAACAGGATGAAGCACATTAAAAACGCAAAGGAGAGTGGATGTACCTACATCAACGGAATGGAGCTGTCGTCGCAACCCAACATGTTAACATGTTTTGCCCGACCGATTCCTGAATGCTGTCATCATCGAAGGGTCGTTCTAAGACTCTAAGATTCAATGCCTGTTTTAGGCAATTCCAAGCTTGTCCAACTAAAGGACAAAATTCATGCCATGCTCCATGCACGGTTGGTTTGGGGTCAATCAGACCAAGACAAATCCTTCATCATCGGCTGGCTGCTCCTGAGCCTGCTCATCTTCTGCTGGTCCTGGCCTTGCTGATGATGCTGATGCGGAATTCAGCCATTCACCTGCTGGAGAGGCTGATGGCTGCGAGGTCATGGATGCTGCATTTGCAGCTGATGGCTGCGAGGTCATGGATGCTCCATAATTTGCAGCTGATGGCTGCGAGGTCATGGATGCTGCATTTGCCCGTGATGGCTGCGAGGTCATGGATCCTGCAGAGGCTGATGGCTGCGAGGTCATGGATCCTGCAGAGGCTGATGGCTGCGAGGTCATGGATCCTGCATTTTCCGCTGGGTCTTCACGAATTGCAAGTACCACCTGTGGCGGCTCTCAACCTAAAGGAATCACCCGTGGCACTTGGGGAGGAGGTAGCGAGGGCGGAGGAAGCAAGAAGAACTCATCCAGGCACCCCATCAGCAGCATTGAACGATGCTGCTCGTGGAAGACCTTGGGCTGAGCTTCGAGCCTTCAAACCTATAGCCTAACTGTAAAATTAGGTGACCAGAAAATTGATGAACAACTTACACAAAACAGGCTAGGCTGCAATGTGCGGGGCATAGGACAAGTCCAAAGTCCACACCAACCGCGGCAGCAAGTTTGCACCAAAGCAGCAGGCTCAATTGATGAACTCGAAGGTGTTTCCATCATCTGCCATGCGCCACTTGCCAACTGACCCAATCGCTGGCTTCTGGCTCTTCGTCAGCCTTCTAAAGGTGATTGGCCCTCCAGCGGCCGTGAAGATAGCCCCCATAGGGGAGGCCCTCTGCCCAGAAGTCATTTCCTGCCGGTCAGACCCTTTCCGCTCACGCACATAGCACCATTCGTGCCACCGATTTGCACGGTGGTCTTTGAACTTAAAGATCCATGTCTTCTCGCCACTCTGGTGCACCTCCCTGTGAAGCTGTGGGTCAAGGTACATGTCCATGGCTCACGAAGTTCGAAGAATTGTCAGGTCAAAATGAAAAGGATTGAACATGACATGCAGACATGTTGCATAGTTGGAAGGTCTAGCTACTATGCGTGTCTTTCTGATAGAAAGTTTGTCAGAACGTGGAGTGTAGGTCGACCTGGGTGTCGGGGAATAATGCGTCCAACTCCGAATTAGGCAATGTGACGAGTTAATGAGCTATGAATGTCGAGTGGTGAACAAACTTGACCTGAGGGCAAAATGCCTTCGGTGTGAAAACTTGTCGCTCATGCCCGCTCCCTCACCTCAACTTGTCCCTTCTTCCCTCATCGTGTCTCCCGCTCCCTGGCCTCCTCCACTTTCAAAGTCACCAATCCACCGGCATGATCTGCCTGGTGATAGGTGAGGGGTTGGTTGATCATCGACAATCCTAACTAAACTCATGAGGATCATCCAAACTCATCCAAATCCAATTTCATTAAATTCAATGAAGTCTTCAACTTCACAATGCTCAAGCCCCAACCTCCAATCCCCGCCTCCAGGTGGTAGTCACATGCAACGGGGCTTTTGAACAAAAGTCGGACGGGCTACTGTAACACCTGAATGTAATATGATAACACCTGAGTGTGACCAAATTGACTTAATAATTAGATTTAATCAACGATTCGAAAACATATCAGAAAGTAATGTTAGTATTCAAAACATACAAAACCACCATTTGACTAACAGTCAATTGAGACTAAATATAATGTTTAAAGACAAAAACAACACACATTGTAATCAACAAAGCATTCCAAATGAATTGAAACCAAAAGCTATACTGAACCAACATTCAACTCAAAACCACAACAGACCTCACTCAGCAGAGGCAGGCAGGTATAGGGTAGCTGTCATAGGTAATAGGCACTTTCATGGGTAATTTGCTCCGTATTCATAATAAAAATGCAATTCCAGCAGAAAGGTGGGAAGCAGTTTCACAGGCACCAATCCTTTCAAAGGCCAAGGGAATCCTTCACCAGGACCATGGCTGGATTTGGCACACTGCGGTGCATTTTTAGGAAGAGGAGCACTCTCTTGAGAGCAGCAACATACCTTCTCTGCTGCTCTGCCTTCCACTCTGCCCAGGTTGGGGGTGTCACCCCCTCACATTTTGGCATTCCAGGATGGGCTGGCCACCAAGCCAACCCACATTCTTCGCAGAAGTCCTCCAATCTGCCCAGCTCCATTCCCAGGTTTGCTTTGTGGTAGTTCCAAAAATAGCAAGTGGCTTGGGTATTAGTGGCTTGGGTATTTCCCATGGCTCTCTTTTTCCTTTTTTCTTCAGCCTCCAAAGCTGCAAGGGTAAAATGCGATTTGTGCTTCAGCTTCGAATGGGACTTGCTTCAGCTTAGATCCCCAGAACAAATTAATGTGATGGTACTTTCTCATTCTCCCATTCTCAGTCAATGCAATGGGGGCGCTGGGGCATGGACCTCAGCCCCAGTCACTTTCATTGGTATTCAACTGTGAGCTACCTCTTTCATTGGTATTCAACTGTGAGCTACCTCTTGGTGACTCTACCTCGTGATTGAGGTGCAAACCCAACCCCCTTCCTTTGGTTCTAAGAGGTTCCTAGGTTCCAAGGGAGGGTTCCAAGTAAGCAATCCAACAGGTTCCAAGGTTCCAGAAGGGGGTTCTACAACCTACAACCTTTTAAACAAATAAACACAAAACACAAAAAAAGGGACCTCCTAACATTCCAGGTCCCAAACCCACCAGGCCCCAAAAGGGACCTCCTACCAACCAGGCACAGAAAAAACATCCCAACCCTACCCCACCCCCCTTGTCCCTGGCATCAACCTCCAAGCTCCAACAACATTTAAACACAAATTGTGTGTTCGTATTCTATGCCACCTCAGCCCGCAATTTCAGTTTAAGAGCTTTCTTCTGAATACATGGGAATGATCACTTCTACATTAACAGCATTGTTAAACCATTGGCCTTTAAAACCCCATGTAATGGCAAAAACATTTTTTTTTTTCTGGGTCTCTGGGAGTGATCTCAATGAACACGCTTTCATGGTAGGTTTCCTCTCTTAAATGTTGGAAAACTGAACGCTTTTAGACATAGAGCAGTACATAAAGCTAAACCAGTTTAAACAAAAAAAACAAACATCTCAAAGAGTTGGTTTGGTTGAGCATCTCAAAGAGTTGGTCCTCGGCCACGCACGGCCGTGCATGTCTTACGTCTTGACTCTGCGCATCAGGCGCGGGCGATCTCCGCTTGCCGCTTGGCCTTCCCCTTTGCGGCCTTCGTGTGGCCATCGACCTTGCGGCGCTTGCGTGTCTGTGGCACCTGGCCGCCAGATGCCCATGGAACATATTTAGCCAGCTTCCAAGAAGAAAAGGGTGCCTGCCTCCACGCAGGCCTGGCAGGTTGAATTTGTTTCCACCGTTTCTGCTGGAAGCTTGTCCGGCCGCCAGCAACCACCGCTTAGCGCGGCGCTTCGCGTTCGAGGTGTCCCGCCGCGCCTTTCAGAGGCAAACTTGGCAGATTTGCTCGGCACTCTTCGCGCTGACGCCCGCGGACTGTGTCGCACATAGGCCCGGGGTGCCGCCTGGGTGGGCAGCCTTCGACGCCTGCATCGCCCTGCGTCACAGTGGGGGCGAGTTGTCAGCGTCGATGGTGGACCCGTCTTGGTTCTGTTAACAGAGTAGCGAAACGGCTTCTAGAATGTCATGACCAAAGAGAGGGCGAGGGTATATCTAGACAGGACCACTTTCATAGCAAGTATACCGTATACCTCTGAAGCACGCCCCGTCAAAAGGCAAGTGTCTTGCGAGTTGGATTGATTTCGATGCCCCGCGGTTGACGCGTCTTGGACGAAAGGGTCGCCTCGAACTTTGATTTGTTGACCGCCACCCCCTCGAAGCGTTGGATCGCGCACTGCGCGGTGTTCTTTTTGCACTCTGGCGCCTTGACGCACTTGCTGCCTTGGCCCTTGTTTTGCTTGCACCGGCACTTGCCACAGCGACACGTCATGCTTGCATCCCAAACCCTCAGTCAGCGCCATAGCAACGACGGGACCATGTGGACCACCTTTTTTCCTTTCCGGGTGGTTTCCGGAATTTGACGCAGTCCTGGGTGGAAATGTCCAAGGATTCCATGAAGCTGGCCAACTTCCTCTCTTCCAAGGCTGCCTGGCTCAAAGACTGCAGCACTTGTTTCAACAGAAGTCGTTCAAAGACAAGCAAACAACTAGCAAAAGAGGCCAGGTGTAACTCATTGATTAGGTTGAAATCCTTCAAACCACTGGCGCACAACGAAGTTCTCCACATGGCGCATGTGCGGTTTACCACGGTTTGGAGGCCAAGCGGCCTGGCTTTGAGGTGCCCCCCCCTGCTGCTTCATGGGCAGGGTGTGGCTGAAGACTTGAAGGACGAAAAAGACGCCAAAACCCGTGGATTCGATGCAATTGGCCTTGGTGAAGCCTGGGCATCCTTTGAGAAACCCCCGCCGGACGCCGCGAAAACACCCACCAGCTGGGAAACCAAACAACCGGAAACGCAGGGTTGTTCCAATCATTGAAATCCTTTATGTGGGAAATGGCTGGGACTGGGGAAACATCCATTTGTTTCTGGTTGTTTGGTTTCCGCAGTTTGGACGTGTTTTTCTGACCGAAGACGTCCCCGCTTCAGCCCTGTCACTCGGCGACGAAGCGTCCAGCCGATGTGGACTCTGGATTAAAAGTCTGACCGGCGCTGAATTCGTAAGGAATGAGGGAAGGAAGCCACAGATCGAGTCCTTTGGATCCAGCCACCCCTCATTCCTGGCCTCTGGGCACCTGAAATCCATCTATTTCATCTCCCCCTGGTCAACCTGTCAACCGGTCAATCGACGTGGAATTCTGCTCAAGCGGACCGTCCGCGTCCGTCCCGCCGCGTCGACCGAAGGACCGGAGACGACGGTCGTCCCCCCACCTTGAGCTCATCGATACTCACCTGTGCATGCGATTTCGGAGCGAGCGACAAGAGCCATACATCCCGGACCTGACCATCAGAAAAAACCATTAAAAAAAGCATGAAAAAGAACATCAGAGCCAAAACCATAAAAGAACATCATGAAAGAAAACAAAACAAACACCATTATACATGTCAGAGCCCAAAAAAGAGAACATCAAACATTCATAAAAGCCGTGACGTGACCTGACGACTGTGTGAGGAAAGGATCCTCATCGGAAATTGGG